TGGATATCAGTGTGGCGAATTTTCAGAAAATTAGGAAACAACCTTCCTCATGATCCAGTAATATATATCCACTTTTGGGTATAGATCTAAAGGATGCTCAATCATGCCACAAGGACATGTGCTCAACTATGTTCATGGCAGCTTTGTCATAGCCAGAACCTGAAAACAACCTAAATGCCCCTCGATCGATGAATGGATAAGGAAAATGTGGTACATTTACACGGCAGAACAAAAAAATAACGACAGCTTGAATTTTGCAGGAAAATGGATGGAGTTAAATAAAACATTATTTCTCAGTCCCCAGACTGAGAAAGACAATTACCACATGTACTCACTCATAGGTGGTTTTTAGACATGAAGCAAAAAAAGCCAGCCTACAAACCATAATCCCAGAGAACCTAGACAACAATGCAGACACTAAGAGAGATTTACATAGATCTAATGTACATGGGAAGTAGAAAGTAGAAAGAGACAAGATCTCCTGAGTAAATTGGGAGCATGGGGACCTTGGGGTACGGTTGAAGAGCGGAGGGGAGAGGCAGGGAGGGGAGCTCAATAAATATTTAAAAAAAAAAAAGTCCGCCTTGGTACTTGTTAAAAACTGGGGAAATATGAGTCGCTCAACAGATTAAATGTAATTAAATCAATTCCATACAGGGAGGAAGAAAACCAAGAGTCCAGGCACAAAGAACAGAAACCCAGAAGCTGCAGACTCGGGCAGTTGACAAACAATCTCCCGGGGGGGGGGGGGGGGGGGTGTAGGTTTGCAGCGGTTGTGCTTCTCAAGTGCTGCAAACTCCGTGGTGGTGGGGATTTTGACGGGCATTCTGGCCGGTGAAGCGGCTCCGTGATCTGGAGGCGCGGAGTTTAAATCCATGTGGTCACGAGGTGGGATGCTTAAGAGAAATCCCACACTAGCTCAGAAATAAGAAATAGATAAACACTTATTAAGGGGTAAACTCACAAATCAGAATTCTCCGCTTGACCAGTTGAATCAGGCGACCCAAAGGAGCAACCGACAAGCGGGGAAAGAGCAAGGGGGAGAAAGGGCACCGCGAAAGCCTGGCTTCCCAGTAAATAGTTGAGAGAGGCCACGCCCCAGTAGGCGGGCTGATAAAAGGGGTAATACTTCCTACAGCACCAGGAGCTCCATAGTTTAGTCCAAATGGTGGGCTTCATGTTCTTTCAGATTCTATGTAATGGTCAGTGTGAACTGTCCACTTCACAAGCTCTAGAATCAACTGGGAGATGAGTCTCTGAGGACGTCTGAGGGAGATTATTCTAATTTTGCTAATTGAGGTGAGAGCTCAACCCACTGAGGGTAGCACCATTCCCTGGCTGGGACCTTGGATTGTATAAATAAAGAAAAGGAGTGGAGTAGTAGCATGCATGCATTCCTTTCATTCCTTTCTGCTTCTTGATTGGGCATGTGTTATGGTTTGGTTCGGAATGCCCCCCCCACCACCACCATACACTCATGTTTGAATACTTGGCTCTTCCTCCCCACCCCCCAGGGTTTCTCTGTAGTTTTTGGTGCCTGTCTTGAGCTAGCTCTTGTAGACCAGACTTGCCTCTAACTCACAGAGATCCAACTGTCTCTGCCTCCCCAGTGCTGGGATTAAAGGTGTGTGCCACCACGGCTCGGTTTTTTGTTTTTTTTTTTTTTTTTTAAATCACAGCAACAGGAAAAAAACAAAGACTCCCTGTTTCAGAAAATGAGATGGATGGTGGTGGCGCAGGCCTTTAATCCCAGCCCTCAGGAGACAGAGGTAGGCTGAGCTCTGTGAGTTCGAGTCCAGCCTGGTCTACAAGAGCTAGTTCCAGGACAGCTAGGATTGCTACACAGGGAAACTGTCTCAAAAAAAAAAAAAAAAAAAAAAAAAAAAAAAAAAAACCATAAAGAGCTAGTTCCAGGACTGGCTCCAAAGCAATACAGAAACCCTGTCTTAAAAAAAAAAAAAAAAAAAAAAAAAAACCAACAACAACAAAACCAACCAACCAAACAAACAAACAAACAAAACACACATGCTGGGCGGTAGTGGCACAGGCCTTTAATCCCAGCACTCGGGAAGCAGAGGCAGGTGGATCTCTGAGATCGAGTCCAGCGTGGTCTATGTTGGACTCTAGAGTCCAAACACTGAGGAGGAGTCACCCCCAGAGACCACCCTTCACACCACAGCTGATGTAAAAGCATGAGGATTTTATTAATTCTGTCATGACAGGGTCCCTCAGCATTCGGGAAGCCGAGAGACCTCAAATAGCTGGCACAGGCTACTTTTAAAGGAGAAGCAAGGGGGGTTGTGACTGGCTTATTCAAAAGGGCTATTACCAATAATTGGCTGAAGAGCTGTTGCCAGATCAGATGAGGTTTTTGACCCTGTTTCCCAGGGGACTGAATCAAAACATACGTATATGGGTAATTGTTCAGGAACTGAGTACGTGCATGTGTAGCTGTTAGGTCCTTGGTTCCCAGGGGAGGAGGGGAAGCACTATGGCATGGAGGCTGAGAGGATTCAGAATTGTCAAAAATGGCTTCAGAATTGTCTTAAAGCCTTACCGTCTGCAAGGGCTAGTTCCAGGACAGGCCCCAAAGCTACAGAGAAACCCTGTCTCGAAAAACAAACAAACAAAAAAAAAAGGGGGGGGGGAAAGAAAATGAGATGAATGGAGATTCTACTATAGAGGGAGATTTCCAACCTGCTCCCTTGGCTTCCATATGTACTCAGATAGTTGGACCACCCCATGACTAAATGTAGGGTTACCATAGGTCAGTTCCATTCCAGACAGACACCCCAGAGAATGGAAAACCTGGACATTAGTGCTCACAGGAGCCTTCGTTCCCTGGCAGGGGAAGCTATCCCAGAGTCTCTGAACTGTTGAATGGATAAGCAACAGTAGCAGGCTGGTACAGAGGAACTCATTTGCCAACGAAAAGGAATAGAGTATCAACACCTGCTACAATCCACATTAACTTTATTAAAAATGTTCTAGTCCTTGAAAGAAGTCAGCTATAGAAGATTATTTATTGTATGATACATATTTGTTCTTTTGTTTGTTTGTTTTGTTTTTTCGAGACAGGGTTTCTCTGTAGCTTTGGGGCCTGTTCTGGAACTAGCTCTTGTAGACCAGGCTGGCCTCGAACTCAGACAGGGATCTGCCCCTGCCTCCCGAGTGCTGGGATTAAAGAAAGGTGTGCGCCACCACTGCCCGGCTATTTTTTATTTTTGAGACAGCGTTTCTTTGTAGCTTTTGGTGCCTGTCCTGGTACTAGCTCTTTAAAAAATAAAAATTATTTATTTATTATGTATACAATATTCTGTCTGTGTGTATGCCTGAAGGCCAGAAGAGGGCACCAGACCTCCTTACAGATGGTTGTGAGCCATCATGTGGTTGCTGGGAATTGAACTCAGGACTTTTGGAAGATCTGGCGATACTCTTAACCACTGAGCCATCTCTCCAGCCCTGAAACTTGCTCTTGTAGACCAGGCTGGCCTCAAACTCACAGAGATCTGCTTGCCTCCCAAGTATTGGGATTAAAGCTGTGTGCCACCACTGCCTGGCTAGGGTTCATTTTGAAAGTGATGAAATATTTTATTAAAAGGCATACACATTATATTGAAGTAAAATTGGTTTGTTTTTGTTTTTGGAGACAGGGTTTCTTTATGTTGCTTTGGAGCCTGCCCTGAAACTTGCTCTGTAGACCAGGCTGACCTCGAACTCACAGAGATCCACCTGCCTCTGCCTCCTGAGTGCTGGGATTAAAGGCGTGCGCCACCGCTGCCCAGCTTAAGTAAACCTGTTTTAAAGATGAAAATATATACTATCTTAACCCCAAGAGAAAACTTTAAAATCCGCGGTCCTTGTGTCTCACAGCAATAGGAACAGTTGAGCGGCTGCAGGATCTTTGGGAGAAAAGAATCAAGTTCCACTTCACTAAGTCTGTTACTTAGTTGCAAAGAAGGAAAGGTAATAATAGCCTCAATGATTTGGTAAGAGTGGTAATAGTTACCTACAGATAACTATTTTCTTGGGTTAACTTTCTCATAGTATTTTTTTTTTTTTGGTTTTTCGAGATAGGGTTTCTCTGTGGCTTTGGAGCCTGTCCTGGAACTAGCTCTATAGACCAGGCTGGTCTCGAACTCACAGAGATCCGCCTACCTCTGCCTCCCGAGTGCTGGGATTAAAGGCGTGCGCCACCATCGCCCGGCATTCTCATAGTATTTTTAAAAAGGCCTCAATTTAAATTCCTGCTTGCTCACTTAGACTTAAAGACACATGTCATTTCATAAATCCATTGGAATTTTTCAGAGCTCTGGGCAAAGCAGATGTCCGTAGATACCGTACTCATGGTGGCAGTGGATGGAAATGGGTAGCGTGGGGACCTGGGACCTATCTAAATTCACCAAGAGGTGACCCTGGTGAGACTGCGGAGGGTGGCGTGAGGATCCTTCAGTTTAGGACTCCCTAGGTCGAGTCGAGGGAAAACCGTAAAAGGTTCAGGAAAACAGGTCTTGTCCTACCCTCTGTCAAGGCTTTAGAGAAACAAAGCCAAATTCAATTTTCTCTGATCTCAGAAAAACTGTGTTCTCGGAGAGAGGTCCGGGGTGACTGCTGCGCGCTTCACCAGCTTTCCTCACGGAGTCCCTTTTCCCCCTCCTCCGCAACTCAGCCCTCCCGTTTTAGCCCTTCCACAGCTCCAACCACAGTCCCCCAGCTTCCTGCTTCCTCCCCGCAAAGTAGCGGCCGCGCCCACAGATCGACTGACTGCAGCGCCGCCTTCGCTCCACCCCTTCACTCCTGCCCTTTAGCCCCGCCCCGCCCGCAGTCCTTCCCGCTACCATCTTCGCCCTCGCCCCGCCCCTATTTAGCCCCGCCCTTTAAGCACTAGCCCCGCCCACCCACACCCGCGTCTCCCCGCTGCTTCTTTTCCCACTCTTCTTTGATCCTAGGCCCCACCCCTCCATGAAGCTCCCGCCCACGAACCCGCCTTCCGGACAGCGCGAGGGGGCCGGGCGGGGGCGGGGCCGGCTTCACCCGGAATGAAAACAAACGGCGGCCTCTGCGGCATCCGGGCACTCAGCAGGTCGCTGCTGGCGCGGCGGTGGCGCAGGTAAGGCGACTGCGGCTGGCACCGAACGGGGCCTGGACCTGGCTGCGCGGCCGAGCCGGCCGTCGGCGCGGCTAGAGCGGCCGGGTGGACGCGGCGGTGCAGGCTCGGGAGGGAGCGGGAGGAGGTCCCTGCGGGCCTGAGGGAGAGGGACACCTGCCGTCAGCCTGAGCTGCGCCGAGCGGGCTGCCCGGGGCTGACGTGCGCGGACTGCGGATCGTTGTGGGTGAGGACACGAGCTTTCTGGCCCCACGCTGTTCCTGCCTCCTTCCCTTGCTCTTACTTTGAAGTACGAGACCGCAGTCGCGTGTTATTTCCCTGAGAGGGAACATGTATTGAATGTGCGTGAGTCTAGGCGATCTGGATTTTACAGAAGTGAGATTGAAAATTTCAACGTTAATTCCTAACGTTTCACTTTCGGTTCTGAGCGCTGTTATTCAGGACGTAAATGTTTTCCACGTTATGATATGGAACACCCAGAGACAGACTCCAAACTTGCATTTCTCCAGTTAAAACTGGGCTATTTGGTTTTCTTCCTTTTGACCTAACACCTGTCACTCTTTGTTTATAACCAGAGCCTCATACTTTGGAAGACGGTGGTTTAATTTAATTATTTTATTTAACTTTTTTTAGTAAACAGTGTCTCACTATGCAGCTCTGGTTGTCCTGGAATTGTCTGTGTAGAATATGCTGCCCATGACCTCACGGGAGATTCTGCTTTTGCTCCCTAGTTCTGGGATTAAAGGCGTGCAACAGTATGGCCAGCGACGGTGGTTTTATAATTTTTTTTAAACGTTAAATCTTATTTAATACCCTGCGTGGTGGCTCACGCCTTTAATCACAGCACTAGGGAGGCGGAGGCAGGCGAATCTCTTGAGTTCAAGGCCAGCCTGGTCTACAGAGTGAGTTCCAGGACAGCCAGAGCTAAGTAATGAGTATTGGCTGGTTTTGTGTCAACTTGACAGAAGCTAGAGAAGAAGGAGCTTGAATTGAAGAAATGCCTCCATGAGATCCAGCAGTAAAGCATTTTTTTTGTTAGTGATAAATGGGGGAGGGTCCAGCCCATTGTGGATGGTGCCACCCCTGGGCTGGTGGTCTTGAGTTCTATATGAAAACAAACTGAGCAAACTTGTAAGCAGCACTCCTGCACAGCTTCTGTATCAGACTTTGCCTCCAGGATCCTGCCCTGTTTGAGTTCCTGTCCTGACTTCCTTCAATAATGAATAGCAACATGGAAGTATACGCTTCCCAGCTTGCTTTGTGGGCATGGCATTTCATCACAATAGAAACCCTAACTACTAAGACCCCCTTTTGTCTCAGAAAAAAGAAATTTTGTGTGATGCACACCTGGCAGTGTTAGAACATAGATTAGGGTTGTGATAACCTTATCTCCTTTTGTTAGACAGTGGACTGGGTACAGTCTGGGAGACTGTTTTCAACCTTCTAAATAGCTGGTTGCTCGTAAATTATCTTGCTATTCTCCTTATTACGTGGCAGTGGTCTTTTTCTCAGAATTTTTTAGATTTCAGTCCTGTGTCTGGTAGGTTCAATGACTTGTGTTTACAAAGCAAGTGCTCCTAAGTTGCTGTGCCTTGCTGTAAGGATTAGTGTGTGAGTGACCACACACACACACACACACTGTTTATTCCATTCTTCATCCTGTCGACCCGTTTCTTACTCTCAGATGGATCTGAACATTCTTTTAAAAGCATGGTTATGGAATAATTATCACCACACTTGCTTCAAATCAGGTGGATTATATTCACAAGACTATGGAGTATTAGCCCTCCATACAAAAAAAGAGAAACATTTAAGTTCTAATAATCCATACTTTTTTCCACTCTGAAATTCATGTTCATTAATAAGGAGTGAGTAGTTTCCTCCTTGGTTTGGTTTGGCAAACCTTGAAACACTTCACTACACTGCCCACCTGCCTCTGGCACTCAGCAGCCTCCCCCACCCCTGGGAATAGTTGTACTGGTGTGGGATGCTGCCATAGCTCCTAAGAAGAAAAGAAGTTACATGCTGAAGACTTGCAGCAAGGGGTTGTGAGACAAAGTACAGAGTCCATTTTTGTAGGCAGATGGCTCCTACCAGTTCCGGCACTGGCTGGTGTTGTGGTTTTATAAACCTAGGGCCTGGGGTTTCCCAGCTGTAAAATGATCTAGCCACTGCTGCACTGAACAATAGATGTAGTTGTGCTATTGCTCTCTCAGATGTACCAGTGAAAACAACAGCAAACCATGCGAGCTGGTGTGATGGTTCGTGCCTGTCATCCAGGCACGGTGGATGCTGTGGCTTTGAACTTTGGGGCAGCCTGGGCTACAGAGTAAGACCTTGTCTCAACACAAAGTTAAAACAACAAAAACCAAAATAGTGTAGTACTGTAATTTTTAAAATTTTATTTATTTTTTGAGAGGCTGACCTGGAACTCACATTGATCTGTCTCTGCCTCCCAAGAGCTTAAAGGTGTGCATCACCACACCTAGCTAACTCTTTTGTTTTCAAAGTTCAACTGTATAAACATTTATTACTGTAGTTCATAGTTCAAACTATCTTTTCTTTGTGCTTAATTACCAGAATGGTTAGCTTAGTCTTTGGTTTTGAGTTAAAGTAGCCCAGGTGTAAGAATTTACAAGATATATATATATATATATATTTGCTTAAAGGGTTTGTCTTTTAAAAAAATTATCTTTTATGTGTATGGGTGTTTTGCTTGTATGTATCTCTGTATATCAGAAGGGGCCCTTGGATCCTCTGGAACTAAAGTTAGAGATGGTTGTGAGCTGCCTTGTGGGTGTTGGGAACCAAACCCAGTTCCTCTGGAAGAGAGCAGCCAGTAACCCCTGAGCTGTCTGGCCAGCCCCTTTCCTTACCTTTCTGAGAATAATAACAGGGTTAGAAATGGAGAGGAGAACACAGACCTAGCATGTGTAACATCTTGGTTTATTACTTTCTTCCACAGGAAACAGGGATATAAACTACCTCCTTGCTACATATTAGCAAGTTTGAAATAGATTTTTTTTTTTTTTTTTTTTTGGTTTTTCGAGATCGGGTTTCTCTGTAGCTTTTGGTGCCTGTCCCGGAACTAGCTCTTGTAGACCAGGCTGACCTCCAACTCCCAGAGATCCGCCTGCATGAAATAGATATTTTTAAGCTGGATGTAGTGACATATTATGTCTTTAGTCACAGCACTAGGGAGTCATTGGCTGGTGGTCTACAGAATGAGTTCCCGGACAGACAGGGCTAAACAAAGAAACTCTGGCTGGGGTGGGGGGGGGAATAACAACAACAACAAAAGAAACATTTTATATTGGCTTACATATAATTGGATACAGTAGCTTAGATTAAGCTGACAGAGGCACAGAGGGAACACTACTTTGCAGAACTCCTCAGTGGAGGAGATAATGTAAAGCATTTTAAAATGTGATGTGGGTTTTATTGATTTACAGTTTTGCTTTCAAGGATGGCGCAGAAGAAATATCTTCAAGCAAAATTGACCCAGTTTCTAAGGGAAGACAGAATTCAACTTTGGAAACCACCATATACTGATGAAAATAAAGAAGTTGGTTTGGCCTTGAAGGTATTTTCCTTTTACTATATAAATCTTTGCAGTGTTACAACTTTCCTAGTGAATACTGTTCTGATGTCACCAGAAACTACCAGGCCCAGCTGTGAACATTTTGAGAAATACCAAAGCCTTTAGTAATGAACAAATGTATTTTAAATTTAATTTTTAATTTTTTAAAAATTTAATTTTTTCAGCACTAAAGGTAGAACCCAGGGCTTCACCCATGCTAGGCAAGCTCCTTACCACCAAGCCATACCTCCAGTCCTAATTCCTGGCATTTCATTCTTATAAGAATGTTACCTGATTCTCCAGGTATTGTATTAACTGTGGCAAATTAAGTTATAAAGAGAAAAAGTTTATTTTGGCTTATGGTTCTGGAAGTTCCTCAAGCTTGAGTACCCCTGAAGCCTTGGAACTTTGTCAAGGGTAGCACACTGTGACACGCCTCAGGGCAGAGAGGACTGTGCTGCCAGTCCTATCAAGCAAAGCACCCACCTCCATGCACAGCATGTACTGTTTCTGATGAGAGCAAATGACTGCAAACTGGTCCTTGTTAGGTTAGTGTGCTCCAGCCTGTCTAAAATAGCTTATTGTCAAGTGGTGTGGAAGCCAGCAGCAACCACAGGCCCCTGCAGGTCACTAACCAGGTGTGGGTCAAATCACATCTCAGCATATCACCCAGCCGCACATCTCAGAGCATCCCCAGTGGTGCAGGCAGGACTGCGTATACAGGTTGACTGTCCTTGAACTGATGGTCCTCCTGCTTCAGCCACCAGAGTGCTGGGATTTTTGCTGTATTCCAATAGATAGGTTCAGCTGTATTTATTTTTAACCCCAAATACATAACATTTTATCACTGTAAAACATGGGAATTTTTAAAAATAAAATACTTTAAAAATCAATTTCAGAGCCAGTAGGATGACTCAACAGATAAGGTCCCTGCCACCAAGGTTGAGGACCTTTTGATCTCCAGATTCTGCACTGTGGAAGGAGAGAACTGACTCCTGCAAGTTGTCTTCCTATGTGCACCACCCACACAAAAATAAACGTAGAAGAAAATCACTCTCTGAAAATTCTAATGCCCCCTGAGCATGGTGGAGCAATCTTTCAATCTCAGCACTCAGGAGGCAGATAAGGGAGATCAGGAATCCAAGTCCTAAGGAGTTTGAGGCCAGTCTAGACTACATGAAAGCTGTTTTAAATAGCCAAAACAGAACACCAAACCAACCTACCAACCAACCAAAACCCTAATACCTGGGAAGGGTATTTTTCTCTCCTAATAGCAGGTCTCTCAATTAGGATTTCTGTTGTGAAGAGACACAATGACCACGACCAACTCTTATAAATGAAAACATTTAATAGGGGTGGCAGCTTACTGTTCAGAGATTCAGTCCATTATCATCAAGGCAGGGAGCATGGTGGCATGCAGACACACATGATGCTGGCTACATCTTGATCAGAAGGCAACAGGAAATGGACTGTGACATTGAAGCTTAAGCAAAAAAAGACCTCAAAGCTTACCTCCTCTGGGGGGGTGGGGGGGACACTTCTTCAACAAGGCCACACCTCCTTCAACATGGCCACACCTCCCAATAGTGTCACTCCCTATGAGCTCATGGGGGCCAATTACATTCCAGCTACTACAGCTGGTAATTCTGACATTGACTCAGCCAACAGTTCAACTTGCCCTTGATACTCACTACCCAGGCTTTGACTTTACAGGTCTCAGGGTGCACCCTCATGTCTAGTATGCCAAGTATGCAGTCTCTGAGTTACCATCACTGACTGGCTACAAAGTACAGGGTTCCCATGTGTGACAATTTGCTACAATGACTCCGAACTTAGGCCAAGTTTAGGGATTTTAGTTTCCCGTGAAGGCTACAAGAGAACAGATATCAGAGAGACAATGAGAAACCTGAAAGGGGCCTGCCTGGTGGGAGTCGATGTGCGACATGTACATTAAAATGGCCACTTCCAGGTCTGGAGAGATGGCTCTGCAGTTAAGAGGCTTGCAAAGGAACACAGTTCAGTTCCCAGCACCCACATCAGGAGACTCACAACTACCCATAACTCTAGCTCCAGGGAATCTGTTGCCACCTTCTTCTGGTCTCTACAGGCACCTGTGTATGCATGCACATATACAAATATAAATAATGAAAATAAGCCTTTTTTAAAACAGCCCCTTCATCACTAGGTGGAAGGAATTTTAGTTGCATTGTATCTTATGAGGTCCATCATTCATCAAAGTATAGTTATGTAGCACATGAGTATTCTTAAGTACAGATATATAAAGAAGACAGTTTTATAAACCAGACATGGTGGGCGTGCCTGCAGTTTTAGCACTCAGGGAGGTAGATGCAGGAGGATCAGTCAGGGTCATTCTAGGCTGGCCTCAAATTTGCTAAGTAGCCAAGGATGACTACATAGCAAATTTGAGGCCAGCCTAATATATGAAATCCTATCTCAAAGAATATATTTTTTTAAAAATATAGTAAACATCTCTGAAGTTGGTATATTCTTCCTGTCTTCTCCTGATGACTATTTTAAAATGTATTATGACTGGGCAGTGGTGGTGCATGCCTTTAATTCTAGCACTTGGGAGGCAGAGGCAGCTGCATCTCTGAGTTTGAGGCTAGCCAGTCCACAGAGAAAAGTACAGGACAGGCTCCAAAGCCACACAAAGAAAACCTCTTTCAAAAAATAAACAAAAAAACAAATAAAATGCATTATGAGTAAAACTTTGTCACATATATAAATCCCTAACAACCAAATTAAAAAGGTTATTTAATCTGTTTTGCTTTCACACAGTTTAAGAAATTAGAATATTTTTTCTGTTTTTAAATTTTTTCCCATCCAATGACAGTGAATAGTTCACTATTCTAAAAAGTTTTTTTACATTTATTTTATGTATGAGTATTTTTACTGCATGTATATTTACGTACCTCATGTGTGACTAGTGCCCTTGAAAGAGATGGCTCGGAGGGTAAGAGCACTGGCTGCTCTTCAGAGGTCCCAAGTTCAATTCCCAGCAACCACATGGTGGCTCACAACCATCTGTAATGAGATCTGGTGCCTTCCTTGCCAGCAGTACATTGTATGCTTAATAAAGAAATAAATCTTAAAAGTCAGAAAGAGGAAGAATGTTGGATCCCCTGGAACAAGAGTTACAGATGGTGGTGAAGTACCATGTGGGTGTAGAGAACCAAACCCAGGTCTTCTGTAAGAGCAACAAATGCTCTTAACCACTGAGCCATCTCGCCAGCCTCCACAATTTAAAAAAAAAATAATTATGTGTGTGGGGGGGAGTGTTAGAAGTCAATATGGGGCTTGGTTTTCTCCCACCATGTAGGACCCAGAAGTTCAACTTAAGGCATCAGGCTTGACCTCAGGTACCTTTACTTGTTAAGCCATCACTGCTTCTTAAAGTAATTTCTTAATATATTAAGGTTACAGGAGTCTCAGCCCTCCTTACTATCCCCCTGGAGTAGTCCCAGTTCTCACTTTGCCTACAGAGCCTATTTTTACTATCTGTAAATGTTTTAATTTCTCCCTGAATCCTTCCTGTGAACGGAGATTGAATTTGAGTACAATAAAGGCCTCTGCTTGTCAGAGTTACGTTGTGTTGGGGATTTTTTTCTTTACTATTTTTGCACTGACACTCTGCTGAGCTGCAGTCTCTGGTTTCTCCTCACAGGACCTTGCTAAGAAGTACTCTGACCGACTAGAGTGCTGTGAAAATGAAGTGGAAAACATAATAGAAGAGATCCGTTGCAAAGCCATTGAGCGTGGCACAGGAAATGAACATTACCGAACAACCGGGATTGCCACGATTGAGGTGTTTCTGCCTCCAAGACTCAGGAAAGTAAGTAGCTGCCCAGTGACGGAGACAAGCTTAGTGCTGTGACCAGGCTTTGTTTTGGTTTGTTTGGTTTGGTTTTGTGATGACAGGGCCTTTCTGTGTGGTCATGCTATCCTAGAACTTCATGTATAGACCAGACTGGTTTTGAACTCACAGATCCTCCTGCCACTGCCTCCCAAGGTTAAGAGCACTGGCTGCTCTTCCAGAGGACCCAGGTTCAGTTCTCAGCACCCACAGTACAGCTCACAGCCATCTTTAACTTCAGTCCCTGGGTGGTCTGATGCTCTCTTCTAGCTTCACTGGGCATTGCACACACATGGTGCACAGGCAAACACCTATACATGTAAAATAAACATGAAATGAAATAAACCTTTAATGTCAAGAAGCCAACGTAGACAGCAGGTTTTAGAACCGTATGTATGTAGTAGGACACTCCTTGCAGGAGTTCATCTTCTATGCTGATGGAGGGCGGAGGGTTAGTCAGCTGAGTATTGAACAGGGCTGAACTGACCTGCGTAGCCCCCTTGTCACGGGGCCTCATCCTTAGGTAGTACATGGCCGGTCTATTTTCCTGGGAGCACTTTGCGGCCCTTCTCAGGACCAAACAATATTGGCCATTCTCAGAAGTGAAAGTAGGTGCTTCAAGACTTGTCATGGGCAGGTGAGATGCTCAGCAGTTAAAATGCTTGCTGGAAAGCCTGACTTCTTTGCGATTCCCCGGTATCCACATAAAGGCAGAAGGAGAGAACTGATACCACAGCGTTGTCCTCTGACCATGGCACACCCACAAGCCCCTCTGCCCCATCATAACACACATGCACACATTTTTTTTAAAGGCAAGAAAAAAACAAAACACTTATATGTGGGCCTGGAGAGCTGGCTCATGTTAGTAAAAGTGCCTGCCATGTAAGCATGGGGACCTAAATTCAGATTCCTAGAATCCATGTAAAAAGCCAGATATGTGAGTGTTTCTGTAACCCTAGCCCTGGGTGGTATAGGCTTACAGGGTTGTGGATGGATCTCTGAAGCTCATTAGCTAGCGAATCAACGAGAGATTCTACTGAGAAAAAAAAAAAAAACACCTGGATTCAAGGCTAGCCTAGTCTACAATGCAAGTTCCGGAACAGCAGGGCTACACAAAGAAACCATGTCTTGAAAAGCCAAAAAAGATAAATAAAGAAAGAAAAGGCAGAAAGTAATCAAGATACCTGATATCAGCTCCAGATTTCACACATGTACACCCACGACAACAAGTACAACCACCACACACTATTAGAATAAATTGAGTGGCAAGCATTCACAGTAACACCACTCATAATGGCTAAAGTAGAGACTGTCGAACTTGCATCAGTGGATGTGTGGATAAACAGATACACCCACACCACAGAAGACTGCTGGTGGTACAGGTGTACAACACTAATAGTTTATGATATGAAACGAGCCTCAGAAACATGCAGAAAAGGCCTGATGCTATTATGGTTTCGCTTCTGTGAAGTGCCCCAAACAGACAACTTTGTAGACAGATAAACTGTTGCAAGGCTGGGAAGAAGAGGAATGGGGTGTAGGGCATGGTGCCTGGTGGCGGTGATGAGCAGGAATGTTCAGAAATTCCAGCAGATACCTTCTTCTCTTAAGGTTTGATTTTTATTTTATTTTTTTAAAGACTACTTTTTTAAAAATATTTGTTTATTTATTATCTATATACTTTCCAGGAAATAGTGCTAGATCTCATTACAGATGGTTATGAGCCACCATGTCGGTGCTAGGAATTGAACTCAGGACCTCTGGAAGAGCAGTCAGTGCTCTTAATCTCTGAGCCATCTCTCCAGCCCTTGATTTTTATTTTTAATTATATGTAAGTATGTGTCTCTGGGCTTGTGCATATAAGCAAATTATCCCCTCTTCCCACTGAGGCCAAGAGTAAATTGTATCTTCTGGGCCGGAGTTACTACAGTCAGGTATGAGCTACCCAAATAGATGCTGGGAAGCGAGCTCAGGTCCTCTGTAGAAGTATTTATTTGCTCTTACCATTAAACCATTGCTCCGATTTCATGAACTTTGATTATGATAATGGCTGGCCATGTGATGGGTCCCACTGAGCAGTCCTACCTATTGCACAAAGGGACACTCAAGTCACTTTGCCAGTCTGTACTGCGCTGTGTTCAACATGTTTCTCTGTACAGGCAGTGCTTTGGTCCTTAAGTAGAACCCCGAGTTTATATCCTGGCAGCACTTCACAGCGTCACATGTCGGGTAGCAGTTCAAAGAAGTGTCACACTCAAGTATATTTCTCGTTTTGTCTCTTTTTGCAACAGGACAAGAAAAGCTTGTTGGAGACCCACTTGCATGTCACTGGTAGAGACCTGAGATCTAAGTGAGTATCTGAGCTATGTCTCCCAATAGGTCTGCCCCTACCCTGGTTCATTAAATGCTCTCAAGCTGTTCTGTAAGCTAGGGAGCCGGTCCATCATCCTCTTATAGCCAAAGAAATGAAACCTGAAGGGTGGGACAAGAAAGAGGTCATGCTGGGCTCACATTGCTAAGTAAGAGGCAACATGGCCTTCTGAGTGAGAGGCCTGCTCATGGAGCTTCTTGGATGCAGTACAGCTTTCAGAGGGTTGAAGTAGCTTGGGGCCAACAGAAGAGGTGCCCAGCTTGTAGCTGAATGAGTGGCTGATGAATGAAAGCAGGAGCCATCCTTGTACTGAGCAGAGCATTCTTTTCAGCACCGATTTCTTCTTGCAAAGGCCAACCCATGCGTTCTTCAGCTGATTGTCTTGTTTCTTTACCTTCTGGAGAATGAGGAAGCATCAGTCACTCAATGCCCACAAGTAGACAAGTATAGGATAGCTCTAGTTAGAGGTTTCTCAGAGAGGATGCTGGATAGTATGGCAAGGATGTTTTTGACTCTACTCAGATGGACAGCCCTGTAGTCCTCAATTCGGAAACAAGTTTAGGAAGGGCTTGTTTCATGGCTTCCAGCAGCCGCCCACTGTACCAGCTTTATTGTAAAATCATGCTAGAGGTGGAAAGCCTGGTGTTTCTGTGTAGAAAGGTATAAAGTAGCAAAGTGGCCATCATGATCCAAGTCTTATGTAACAGATAACAAATTTGCTTTCCTGCAGCTTATATTGTTTTTATTTTATAGAATAGCTGAAACTTTTGGATTTCAAGAAAATTACATCAAGATTGTAATAAATAAGAAACAACTTCAACTAGGTATGTCATAACAAAAGAGGCATCAGCTATATAAGTACTGTCTTTCTTTTTTTTTTTTGGTTTTTTTTTTTTTTTTTTTTTTTTTTTTTTTTTTTTTGCTTTTCCTCTATTTGAAAATTTCCTGGCCTTGATGAATTTATTATCCAAAGTTGATTATGTTGAAAGTTTACCATAATGAAAATGTAAAGCAGAAAAGAACTTCCAATAAATATTCACTGTCCTTCTCTGGCTAGTGGGGAAGAAAGAAGTTCATTTCAGTCAGGTAAGATGTTCCAGAATGGAAATGTGTGCTGAGGGGAGGATCTGGGTTACTCATAGTTCTCTTTATGGGGAGAAAGCTGACCCTGAGAGAGACAGATGGACAAATCGGAGCGCTCTGCTTACTGAGTGTGGGTGGAGAGCAAATGAGCCATGTGAGTCTTCTAGCAGTGAACTCAGCCAGGGAAATTTTCACCACCCAGGGGAGCGCTGACTTCTTGAGGAGACAGTTTTGATTATATTAGTTGGGGGCTGCGTGTTTATCATTTACCGAGTCAGAATCAGGGTTGCTGCTGAATACAAGGCAGCCCCCACAAAAGCCCCACATCACAGACTTCTGCCCAAGATGTTAAATGCTGCTGGGAAGCCTGTGAAAATGAGCCTTGTTCAGTATGGAGTTTGTCCTCAGAAGGGAGGCACTGTACTACAGAGCCTCAAGAACCTGAGCTTCACCTGTCTGTCTGTCTGTCCGTCCGTCCCTCCCTCCCTCCCTCCCTCCCTCCCTTCCCTCTTTCCTCTTTTTTTTTGGGGGGGTGGCTTTTCAAGGCAGGACTTCTCTGTGTAATTCTGGCTGTCCTGGAACTCACTCTCTAGACCAGGCTGGCCTCGAGCTCAAAGGTCCACCTGTTTCTGCCTCCCGAGTACTGGGATTAAAGGTGTGCACCCACCACCCTACTAGGTTTCATGTTTCTAAACAGCCTTTCATTGTCTTTCAGCATCCCAGCTGTTTCTCTTGTGTGTTCACATGTCACAGCTACCTTCCGTTGACACCCCTTTTCTGTTCTGCTCATCACTGGACAGACATTTTTAATTTTAATGCTGCCAAAACCATTGCCTTACATTTTGTGTTTGTTGAAGAAGCTCTTCCCAAACCCAGGACCACAAGGGTATTCTCCACTTGAACACAGACATCTTCCTTCATCCCCAAAGACTGAGGATCAGCTTGGCTTCCCTCCAGTGTCACTGCTAACACTGGTGGTGCTGCTGCCTTAAGAGGGCTCTGTCCTTCCTGCAGTCTTCTACAGTGTCCCTCTTGTGATTTTTTTTTGTTTTTGTTTGTTTTGTAATCTTAAAATCCAATCGGAGGGCTGGGTGATGGCCTAGTGGGTGAAATACTTGTTGCTTAGGACCTGAGTTTGGGTCTCTAGCACTTGTGCATGTTGGGTTTGGTGGCACACTTCTGCAACTCCAGTGCCATGAGAAAGAGATGGACAAATAAATCCCAGGACTCTTTGGTTAGCCAGTTTAACTGAAACAGTGGACTTCAGGTTCAGCAAGAGACCCTGCCTCAGGAAAGAATATGGAGGGCCTGGAGAGGTGGGTCAGAGGTTAAGAGCACTTAATTACTCTTGCAGAGGACCCAATTTCTATTCTTAGCACAGTAACCCCAGGTCCAGAAGATCCAATGGCACACCTGTGGTATACCTATATGCATACAGGCAAACTATTGATACATACCAGGTAAAATAAGTTAAAAAAATGAATTATGTGGAGAAGCTTTTAAAGAATTCACAATGATGTGTGACCTTCACACCCACCCTACATAAAATCTAATCAGGTGGGCTGGGCGCCTTTAATCCCAGCACTTGGGAGGCAGAGGCAGGCAGATCTCTGAGTTCTAAATCAGTTTGTCTACAGAGTGAGTTCCAGGACAGCCAAGGCTACATTAACCCTGTCTCAAAAACAAGCAAACAAACCAAACAACAAAATTTAGTTAGGTGATTTTTTCTTCTTGCCACCTTCTTTCTCCAGGTGGATCTTGATTTTTGGATTTGAATATTAGAATAGTTGTCATTTCTAAAAAAGAAACATAGGAAAGGGGTGACAGTGTAGAAAAGTGCAGGGAACAAAAATGTAGGAAGGACAGAACCCTCTTAAGACAGCAGCACCAGCAGCTGTTAGCAGTGACACTGGAAGAAAAGGTTTATTTATGTATATGACTTCTCTGCCCTCCTTCTGCAGACTAGAAGAGGGCACCAGATCTTATTATAGATGGTTGTGGGCCACCCATGTGGTTGCTGGGAACCGAACATAGGACCTCTGGAAGAGCAGCCAGTGCTCTTAACCACTGAGCCACCTCTGCCCTCAATATCATTTTTACTAGGTTTGTCTGTAGTGTTGGCTAACCTCTTCACTGGACTGGCCACTCCCCCTTGTTCTGTTCCACGTTTTGTTTCTATTTGTTAAAAGAGGAAACTGGCCAGGCGGTGGTGGTGCACACCTTTAATCCCAACATTTGGGAGGCAGAGGCAGGCAGATCTCTGTGAGTTCTAGGCCAGCTAGGTCTATAAGAACTAGTTCCAGGACAGGCACCAAAAACTACAGAGAAACCCTGACTCGAAAATAAAAAAAAAAAAAATTTAAAAAAAAAAGAGGAAACTTTTATTCTTAAAATATTGGCGGGTCCCGGATGGGCTGGCGGCCCCGCCATACGGCAAGCGGGCAGCCAGCCCGCGGCGGGTCCGGGGAGAGCCAAGCGGCTGCAGGAAAAACTTTTGTTTTCCTTTTATGCTGCCTGGCATAGTGCTCTCAAATATTTGTTACTTTAGTATGGTCTTAGGGTAGAGAGAAAGAAAACAGGAAAGAGGGAATGTGGCCCACTGCTCTCTCTTCAAGTGTGAATGCAGGTTCTAGAATTCCATCTTCCAGGCTGATGAAGTGACTTGGTGGATAAACAACATTGGTTGCAGAGCCTGATAGTTTGAGTTTGGTCCTTGAATCCCACATGGTAGAAGCAGAAAAGTGGCTCCTGCAAATTGTCTACAAGCATGCACACACACACTCAAAAATAAATTAATAAAAAAGGACTCCATTTACCATAAGAAATGGACTGTTGCCCAGGAAGTTTGTGTGACAGGCAATTCTGCTGTTCCCAGGGAAAAGCCTTGAAGAACAAGGAGTGACTCACAATGTAAAGGCCATGGTGCTAGAACTGAAACAGTCTGAAGAGGATGTGAGGAAAAACTTGCAGGTAGAGGAAGAGGAACAGAATGAAGCAGAACTGAAGGAGAAACGCATTCAGAGGACCAAAAGGGGACTGGAGATTCTGGCAGAGAGAGGTACACAGAATTTTGGTTTGTTACCTCCCTCAGATACAAGGCAGCTCACAGAGTACCATGCCTCTTGTGGAGTTCCTCTCCACAGTATAGTGTCTCAAGTGTTATCTCTCACTTCTCTTCAACCCTGAGTTAACGGCACTCCTGTGGCTTTGTTGCAGCTGAGATGGTAGATCCGGAAACCATGCCTTACTTAGACATCGCAAACCAGACAGGCAGGTCAATCAGAATTCCTCCTGCCGAAAGAAAAGTAAGTATGGGCTGGGAGGCTGGCTGGGCTGTCAGAACAGAGGGCAGAGTCAGGCCCAGAGGCTTCTTAGAATGAAGATTTCTGATTAGGAATCAAGTTTATTTGAGGGTTTTGTTTAGTTCAGTATCTTTTTGTTATTTGAATTTGTGGTAGGCTTCACGATTTAAATTATTCTGCTTAAAGTTAAGAATTAAGAACTGGGCTGGGCAGTGGTGGCACATGCCTTTAATCTCAGCACTTGGGAGGTAAGGCAGGCGGATCTTTGTAAGTTCGAGACCAGCCTGGTCTACAAGAGTTAGTTCCAGGATATGCTCCAAAAGCTACAGAGAAACCCTGTCCTGAAAAATAAAACAAAACAAAAAAGGAATTAAGAGCTGGGCAGTGGTGGCACATACCTTCAATCTCAGCACTCAGGAGACAGGAGGATCTGTCTCTTGAGTTCAAGGCCAGTCCACTATACAGAGCAAGTTCCAGGGCAGCCAGGGTTACACAGAGAAACCTTGTCTCAAGGGACTGGAGGGATGGCTCAGCAGGTGAAGGTTCTTAATTCCATCAGAACCTACATGGTGGAAGGAGAGTAGTGACTCCCACAAGCTGTCCTCCTGCATTCACATGCACTGTGGTACAGCTGTACCTGTATGCATAGACATGCACACACAATAAATAAATAATAATTAAAACTTAAAATAATAAAATGAGGTTTTAAGATGGACATGATGGTTGTACAAGCCTGTAATCCCAACAACGGGAGGCTGGGAGCCAAACCCTCATTTAGTATACAGTCTAAGCCATCATAACCTTCTGTGAATGGATTTGGAGGGCCAGCAAGATGGCTTAGCAGGCCAAGGCACTTGTTGTTGAGCTTAACAACCTAAGTTCCATCTCAGGAACGTGCATGGTAAGAAGAGTCCTGAAAGCTGCCTGTGACCTCCACACATGTGCTGAGGCATAAATGTACACACACAAATAAATGTGAAAAAAAGTTGTTTTGGAAATGCTAGCATTGTCAAACATCTCAGAAGTGTGTGGTAATAACTGCTTGTGAAGGTGGAGGATGGGAGACTGACACAGGAGTATCTTGATAGTAAGAGACCCCAAACAAAAAACAAAGCCACAACCAAAAATGAGTGTTTGATTACTTATTTGGACATTCTTGCTACGTAGCTGAGGCTGGCCTCCACCTCACAGTCCTCCTTCTGGCGTCTCACAGGCCCACACTACCAAAGCTGCATACTCCTTAGAAAGGCCATAACAGTTGCTGGCTGCTCATCCTCTCCAGGCTTGTAGAAAATTAGAACCAAATCTAGACCAGCAGGTGGGTAAAGAAAAAGCTGATAAAAGTGAGGGGTTGATGCTACTCAAGACAACAGACACGTTGATTTGATAATTTGGCTTTGTTGCTTCAATGAGAGAAAACTCTAATTATAACAGTTAATTTGGCTTTTTAGATTGAGTTGTTTTGTTCTGTCTTGTTTTTCATTAGTGCTAATATGCTTATTAATTTGTTTTATTAATGCTTTTCTAATTTTATTGAAAGCTGTTTTTAGAATTCCAATTCTTTCCTAGGCCCTTATGTTAGCTATGGGATACCATGAGAAGGGCAGAGCTTTCCTGAAGAGGAAAGAGTATGGAATAGCCTTGCCGTGCCTTCTGGATGCTGACAGGTATTTCTGGTAGGTACTTTTGTATTCAGCTGATACTACAGTAGGGAAAGCTCCAGCACCCTCCTACCTATAACTTTAGACTGATTTTTCACTCCATAGTAGTTTCTGGGAGTGAGGAAATAAGGCACACATCAGTCTGTGGTTGTTTCCTCTTTTGTATTTCTTTCTTTTTTTTCTTTTAAGTCAGGGTTTTTCTGTGATGCCCTGTCTGTCCTGGATCTCAGTCAATAGACCAGGCTGGCTTTGAACTCAGATCTGCCTGCCTCTGGTACTGGGATTAAAGGCACGTGCCACCAAAGCCCAACCTTCCTTTGTATTTCTAACTCCATCTATTTTTACCCTCATATGTAGGCTCTCCACCCCCAGTATCCTGCCACCAGAACTGTCCATCACATGGCTCCGCCTCTTCTTGGGAGTGGTGTTGGTGCAGATGGTGATGGTCCTGAACCACAAATCGCACCGCAGACTGCACACTGAACCACATCACACTGCACACTGAACCACATCGCACTGCACACTGAACTACATCGCACTGCACACTGAACCACATCACACTGCACACTGAACCACATCGCACTGCAGACTGCACACTGAATCACATTGCACTGCACACTGAACCACAGCGCACTGCACACTGAACCACAGCGCACTGCACACTGAACCACATCGCACTGCACACTGAATTACATCGCACTGCACACTGAACCACATCGCACTGCACACTGAACCACATCGCACTGCACACTGAACCACATCGCACTGCAGACTGCACACTGAACCACATCGCACTGCACACTGAGCCATATTGCACTGCACACTGAACTATATCGCACTGCACACTGAACCACATCGCACTGCACACTGAACCACATCGCACTGCACACTGAACCACATCGCACTGCACACTGAACCACATCGCACTGCACACTGAACTACATCGCACTGCACACTGAATTACCTCGCACTGCACACTGAATTACCTCGCACTGCACACTGAACCACATCGCACTGCACACTGAATTACATCGCACTGCACACTGAACCACATTGCACTGCACACTGAATTACATCGCACTGTACACTGAATTACATCGCACTGCACACTGAATTACATCGCACTGCAGACTGCGTAGTTTGACTGTCACTCTGCAGTCACTGCCGGATTGCTGTCTCATGAACTGTCAGTTATGCTAAGGTGCAGTGTTCACAGGAAGAAAGTAAAATGCCTGGCTCCTTTTACCTTACTTCCTAGTTTTCAGATTTAGTTGGTTCCTCAAAGGTAACCAAACCGAAGTTTGCTTTTTTTCTTCATCAGTATTAACTGGTGAAGCCCAGAGTGAATTAATTCCATTCTCTCAGCGCTTGAGAGGTTGAGGCACAAGTTGTAGGCCAGCCTGGGCATCTCTACAAGCTCTTGTTTTCAGGGGGATATATATCTATGTATACACACGTTTTTAACATGGACTTTAGCACATCTAATCTGATGTGCTTCATATATGTGTGCTTAGTGTCTCCGTCTTTACTGGCCCTGGTGTCCTTTTGACTTGGTGCTTTTAGTCTCTGCAGTTTCCCAGGGTTTCTAGTTCCTGTTCGTGGAAATAGTACTTAGAGAATGTTAATTTGGGCATGTTGGACACTTGAGACAGACTTGGTTCTGGGAAATGGTCAAGAGTAAACAGCCTATGGGTGAACTTTCTGTTTTGTGAATTCCCATGACAATCATCTATATGAGTACATTTTTTATGTTTATGATAGTTTTCCAGCTGCAAAGGTCAGTGCTTTTGGGTCTTAAATGTATAAACCTCAAGCTAGCTTATTACAAAGAAGAGATTTATTGTCCCAGATGTTTGAAAGAAATGGGGCAAGGCTGGGAAGAGTGAGAAGGTGGTCTTGCCATGTATGTCCCTCTGTCTCTGCTGCTTCATTTGCTTCTTCTCTTCTGAAGCAAACGCTGCAGACTCTAAGCCAAGTCCTTAAAATCAAAGAAAAGTTTTCACGTCTTTGCATACTTGTTCCTACCTCGTTAGCAGAGAAGATTTTAAATATGTGTGGAGGGGGAGACCGCCATAGTGAACTTATACAGGCTCACAATCTGCTTTAGTGGATAGCAAGAAATAGTTGGTCTTGATTCTTTGTGAGCCCTTTTTAACCTTTTCTCCCTGGACAAATAATTTAAATGATTTTCAGATCTCAGATCCTCATAAAAAACAACCACATCAGTATCATCATCAGTTCATGCTACATCAATACATCATAAGTATCAGGTGTAACAGATGCTATTGGTGCCTTTATTAAAGTATAGAGTCATCTTTCCTTTGTGGTCACAAGTGCACATGGTGATCCACTTCAAGAGCAAGGTTTACTGGCTCATGTTAGAAGGTTTAGCCTGTAACCAGTCGGCCCCATTGCTCTGCCATGTCCCTTGTCTCTGCTGCTTTGTGTTGCAGTGTTCATCTCGTCATTGTGGAGGAAAAGAATAGTAATGTGATGACGGGCAGTAGAAATATTCCAGTATGACATACAGAGATTTGTGAGAGATGGAGAAGGCGTGAGAACTATGCCAAGGCACATGACTGTACTTGCTAAAAAGCAATAATAAAACAAAGAATGACCTTTTAACCAACTTTTATTGAAAAAAGACACTTAGGTTTAGGTTATCATTCTTGAATCTAATTCTTTTTACTCATTATTTGTACTCTCCTGGCATGGAGAACCTTGCTACTGTTCCCCTAATTGGGTCCTCAGCATCAGTATTTCCAAAGAAAAAGACTCCTGTGTCGTGGTGATTGTAATTCATAGCCAGGGCTGGAAGCCACTATGTCTGGGCCAGATGCCGCCATGCTGCTATTGAGAATCCTGATTTCTCTTTATTTATCCCTTCAAAATTTTATTATTTTAAATAAATGCCCCATTAGTTAATCCTACAAATGCAGCAAGAGCTGGAAAGCTTTCCGGGGACCACAAAGTGGCTGAAGGGCTCCACATTGTCGGCTTTCTTGTCCTGCAGTGAGTGCAAAGAGCTGCTGGACACTGTGGACAACTACGCGGTTCTCCAGCTGGATATTGTGTGGTGCTACTTCCGCCTGGAACAACTGGAGTGCCTGGATGATGCAGAGAAGAAGCTGAACTTGGCCCAGAAGTGCTTTAAAAACTGTTATGGAGAGAATCACCAGAGACTGGTCCACATAAAAGTACGGAACCTTTTTTTTTTTTTTTTTTTTTTTTCGAGACAGGGTTTCTTTGTAGCTTTGGACTGTAGCTTTGGATTCTGTCCTGGAACTGGCTCTTATAGACCAGGTTGGCCTCAAACTCACAGAAATCCGCCTGCCTCTGCCTCCCGAGTGCTGGGATTAAAGGTGTGCGCTGCCACCACCCGGCTGTGATTGGTTTTCTGAATCCACTTCTGGGCACAACTACTCCTGTCCAGGTGTGGAACTGCTGCCAACAGTGATTCATCTGGGCAGCAATGTAAAACCAAGGCTTGGTTTCCTGAGTCTGGCTACGTCTAATTTTATTTTATTGGTTTTGTTTGAGACAGTTTGATGTAGCCCAGGCTGTCCCTGAACTCCTGACCCTCTTGCTCCAGCCTCCAGAGTACCTGGATTACAGGTGCACACCACTTGTGCAACTTCGTCTTGCTGCGTCTGTGCTGGTTTTCACAAACCCCTGCTCCCAGTCACCCTGGGCAGGAGAGAATCTGTCTATGATTTATTCATGGCCTATAGTGGTTGGAGATAGGTGTCTGACTGGTTCCTTCCATGTGGAAGAGGCACTGCTTGGGGATCTTCACACTGACAGTGCTGTCACTTTGTTCCTGTGGGGACATGGGACAGTTACACAGCAGTGAGAGTGCTGCCCTTAAATTAGAAATAAGACAGCTTATTCTTTTTTCTCCAACAACTTTAGGGAAATTGTGGGAAAGAGAAAGTGTTGTTTTTAAGACTCTACCTGCTTCAGGGGATTCGGAACTATCACAGTGGAAATGGAGAGGAGGCTCGGGAATATCTCAACAAGGTAAGTAAGGCTGCTGTGTCTGCCCTCACCTGTGCCCCTGTGAGTTGGTGCTCTGTGGTCGTGCTCAGACTGACCCTTCAGGGCCCTGCACCTCCCTCCCATCCTCCCACACACAGTGTGAACACTTGTATCTGGGAGGGTTCAGGCAAGATGCTGCAATAAGGACATTTCAAAATGGCAGTGGCTTTATTGGGTAAAGTTTCTGCCCTGCTGTCTAGCATCTAGCTTAACGCGAGGAATGTACTACAGTCGCTCAGACCCTCCTACAACACTCAGCCTGCCTGGTTATGCTGGTAGGTTGTACAGGCAGAGATGGTGTTGTCTGTTTTCATTGCTGATGGTTAGACAAGCTTCCTTCAGTCAGAATCACATGCAGCAGTTTTCACTGTGGCCTCACTTCTGGCTTAGCGCTGCTAAGCTTTGATGTTGCTACTGTTGTGTGAGTCTTCTGTTGCTTCCTGTTTGCTTGTAGGCGCGCCAGCTCTTTAAAGAGCTGTACATTGATCCATCAAAAGTTCACAACTTGCTGCAGTTGGGGTTCACTGCCCAGGAAGCCCGGCTCGGCCTGCGGGCTTGTGATGGGAACGTGGACCATGCAGCCATTCATATTTCCAACCGCAGAGAGGTAAGTTTTCACTTCTTTCTTCAGCACCTGTGAGGCTCGGACCCTGTGAAAAGGTTAAGAAACAAAGACAGTACAGCTTCTTTTCTGAACGGGGTAGGAAAAGATCAGAGAAAATGCCAGAAGACATTTGAACGAGAAGGGACTCCAGATCAGGAGAGCAGGAAAACATTGCCTTCGCTTTTGTTTATTTGAGACAGGCTCATATAATCAAGGTTGGTCTCGAACTTGCTGTAAACCCAAGGGTAACCTTGAACTGCTGATCCTCCTTGCCAGTAACTGAAGGCTAGGATTACGGGCATTCTCCACACACACTTTTCTGCAGTGCTGGGGATGTAACCTGGAACTTCAAGGATACTGGGCAAGCATCTGTCAACAGGGCTGCATCCCCACCAGACTGTCTTAATCACATCAGTTTTGAACCAGGGCAGCTTCCTGTCACAGTGGCTAGTTAAACCAGCAGGCTTCTCTCAGGATCTCACTTGATACCATATTGTATTTCTGGTCATTATTTCAAAGGCAACTACAAACAGTCTGTGAGGCCACAATGCTAGTTTTGGATTGCTTTCTTGCCTGGAAACATGTCAGATCAAGAAACAAGGTCTTTTTTTCTTCTTTTTTTTTTAATTGATTTTTTTATTGAGCTCTACGTTTTTTTTCTGCTTCCTTCCCTGACTCTCCTCTCTTCAATCCTCCCCAAGGTCCCCGTGCTTCCAATTTACTCAGGAGATCTTGTCTTTTTTTTTACTTCTCATGTAGATTATATCTATGTAGGTCTCTCTCTTAGTGTCTTCATTGTTGCCTAGGTTTTCTGGGATTGTGGTTTGTAGGCTGGCTTTCTTTATGTTTAAAAACCACCTATGAGTGAGTACATATGATAATTGTCTTTCTGTGTCTGGGTGACCTCACTCAAAATAATGTTTTCTAGCTCTATCCATTTTCCTGCAAAATTCAAGATGTCGGGGTTTTTTTGTTTGTTTTGTTTGTTTGTTTTGCTGTGTAGTACTCCATTGTACAAATGTACCACATTTTCCTTATCCATTCTTCGGTCAAGGGGCATTTAGGTTGTTTCCAGGTTCTGGCTATGACAAACAAAGCTGCTATGAACATAGCTGAGCACATGTCCTTGTGGCACTATTGAGCAACGTTTGGGTATATACCTAACAGTAGTATTACTGGGTCTTGAGGAGGGTTGTTTCCTAACTTTCTAAGAAATCACCATACTGACATCCAAAGGGACTGTACCAGCTTGCATTCCCACCAGCATTGCAGGATTGTTCCCTTTAACCCACAACCTCTGCAGCATAAGATGTCATCAGTGTTTATGTATGGTGTAAGATGGAATCTCAGAGTTGTTTTGATTTGCATTTCTTTGACTAAGGATGTTGAACATTTCCTTAAGTGTCTTTCAGCCATTTTAGATTCCTCTGTTGAGAGTTCTCTGTTGAGTTCTTTGTAGATTTTGGAGATCAGACCTCTGTCTGATGTGGGGTTAATAATGAAGATCTTTTCCCATTCTCTAGGCTGTCGTTTTGTCTTGACTGTGTTTATAGAAGCTTTTCTATTTCAGGAGGTCCCATTAATTGTTTCTCTCATTGTCTGTCTGCTGGGGTTATATTTAGGGAGTGGTCTCCTGTGCCAATGCATTCAAGTATACTTCCTATTTTCTCTTCTATAAGGTTCAGCGTGGCTGGCTTTATGTTGAGGTCTCTGATCTATCAAAGAAATGAGGTCTTAAAGCTGCAGTCATTTATAACAAGCTTACAAAAGAGAGTTTCAGAATTCTAGTGTTGGAAAGGAGGGACCTTGTCTCATCCAGTTAGTTGTACAGCAGAGAACTTGAGGTCCAGAGCGAGCTGGGATTTGCTGTCAGTCTTCTCTCAAAGCTGGCATAGTCTCCTAGGGCTTTCCAGCCAGACACTCTTCTTGTATGGATCCCATTTCCCAGGGGAACCCTGAAGCACAGCAGTTCATGGGCCACAGAAGGGGCAGAAGAAACTCTTCTGCCATGGTGTTATAGCTGCTTACCTGTGGGAGCCTCTTAACTCCTCAGCACATAAGAACCTGTCCATTCTTATGCTGGATACTTGGTTCATGAGGTGCTGGGCTGATGCTGTTTCCACTCCTGATCTCAAGCCCAGCCCTAACCCTGTCCCTGTGTTGTCCCTTGCCTCTTTTCTTGGCAAGGATAGGTAGGGGTCCCTTTTTGCTTAGTTGTTCACCAACCCAGAGACCTTGAGACACCCTGCAGAACAGAGCCTCAGATTCCTGCGCTGCCTCCAACCCTAACTCAGAGGGACTTGTTTTCCTAAAGGAACTGGCCCAAATAAGGAAGGAGGAGAAGGAGAAGAGGAGACGCCGCCTGGAAAATATCAAGTCCTTGAAAGGAATGGGCTACTCCACACATGCTGCCAAACAGGCCCTTCACCAGGCCAGAGGCAACCTGGACGACGCCCTGAAGGTAATGCTTCTAGGCTTCAGTCTGAGCAGCTGACTGCACCCCACTGGTCTGCCTCCAGGCTGTTTCCACAGCCTTCTTGTGCTCTTCCTATATCTTTGTGTAGATGGGGTTGCACGTGCACCCATCTTTTCCCCATCCTCTGCTTTGTGTGTGTGTTTTATGTTTTTTTAACAGGATCCCACTGTGTAGCCCTGGCTGTCCTGGAACTCGGTATGGAGACCAGACTGGCATCAAACTCAAGAAATCTGCCTGCCTCTGCCTCCTGAGCACTGGGGTTAAAGGTGTATGCCAGCATGCCCAATTTGTATGTAATTAAAAATGAGAATGTAATTTGACTATGGCACTTGAGATTTCTGTGCTAGGCAAACATGAAAAGCACATTAAATTCTAGCCATCTGAAGAAACCAGTGAGCTTGAACAGTTAGTTTCAGTAGGTCCCGAAGCTGGGGAGAAGTCAGTCAGAAAGGACTTGTCTTGTATGAGGACCTGAGTTTGAGCCCCAGGGCCCAGGTTAAAATGCTACATGTGGTGGGGCACATGCTAGTACTGGGGCGTAGAAACAGGATCCCTGGATTCTAGCCAGCCAGTTCCCTTTCCTGCTTCAAGGTACTCTCTGCACGGCCAACGGTGACATCCTACACTCATCTGTCCCGCTAGTGGACAGCTCTGGGCTGTACACCTGCATGTAACAGACAGTCTGTGGAATAAAGGGTGTCCCTGTGCTTTCAGATTCTCCTCAGTAACCCCCACATGTGGTGGTTACAGGACTCAGACTCTGAAAACAGCAGCCGTCAAGCAAGTCCTTCCCAGGAAAGCATCGACCAAGTGAGTGCCAGGCGCTGCGTCGTACCGTGGGCAGGGCTGGCTGGGATGAGTAGGATGGTGGCAGGATGGCATGTGTCTGCCTCTAGGCTTCAGCAGGACCTGCCATCCCTGTAGTGGGACGGATGTGGGTAGAGGGTTCGAGTGAGGCACTTCTGTAGAAAGTAAAGGGGAGAGGCCAGCCTGAGTTCAGAGCCAGCCTGGTCTACATAGTAAGTTCTAGGTCAGGGCTATATAGTGAGATTCTGTCCCCTAAAAACAGCAAGAATGATGGCCTGCAGCAGGAGGTACCTTTGCCTTCATTTCTCGGTTGTCCCTTCCCATGTTCCACCGCTAACATCAGTCCTGTTTCTCTGCCTGGGACCTAAGAGGATGTCACTATCCCGTGAAACTCAGCCCACCTTGAGCCTCATGAGTCTTCATCCACACTTAGACTGCACTTTAGCGTGTCCCACATGTTGTGGCCACGTAACCTATGGTACTCATAGTTAGATTTTCATGGCACTTGCTTTCAGCACCATGGTGGCCAGTCCTGAGGTGAGTGCCTAGCCCCTGTTGACACCTGGTCTTCAGAGCCCTTTCTGCATGGCCTGGCATCTTCTGGGACTAAAGAGGATGAATGCAGCATTCTGTAATTATACTAACCTAGGAAGCAAGGTTGTCCTAGCTGGGCTGTGAGGTGACAAGAGCATGGATGTGGTGGCTCACATGGCAGTGCGAGCTGAGCTCACGGTCACAGTCCTCACCCTGTGATCTCTCCTAGCTGGTGTACATGGGTTTCGACACAATGGTAGCTGAAGCAGCGCTAAGGGTATTTGGAGGCAATGTCCAGGTAGCAGCTCAAACCCTTGCGCACCATGGAGGAAGCCTTCCTCCAGACCTGCAGTTCTCAGGAGAGGACTCCTCCTCCACAGCGTCCACATCCCCGTCTGACTCTGCAGGTAGGTCTGACGTATGGATGCCTTACTGATAGATAGCTGCACTCTTCCAAGTTTGAGCTAACAGCAGCTGTGAGCCTAAGGTAGAGGCTGCCAAAGGCACTGTCAGGGTTACAGAGAGTCCTGTGATCTGCTTATCCCTGTGGTGTTTTCATTGCAGGGACCTCTAGTGCCTCAACAGATGAAGACATGGAGACAGAGGCTGTCAACGAGATCCTGGAGGACATTCCAGAGCACGAGGAGGACTACCTGGACTCAACTCTGGAGGACGAAGAAGTCATTATTGCCGAGTACTTGTCCTATGTGGAAAGTGTAAGGTCTGCTGCAAAGAACAACTGAACAGAAATTAGTGCTACATTTCTGCCTATAAATCTGTCGTTGCGAATGGTCGAATGCAGCTCTTCTTTGCGTTCCTCTTGCTTTTCAACGATTTTGCTCCGAGTAGGCTTTTTCCTCAGGTACAGGGACCCAGCATAGTGAAGAGAGGCTTTGTTGGGAAAGACGGTCTAGAAAAGGGGATTCCCTGGCTCTGCTGTTTCCCTTCTGCCTCCCAGTCTGCATCTCTAACCCTGTCACTGTCAGTTTTCCATCAGAACTGAGGAGCAGGCTTTCCAATGGAGGCAGGGTGGTCTGCAGAGAGACGGGGACTCTGTCTCCCGTCTGCCTCTCATTAGCCCTCCTGTCCTGCTGCTGTCCTCCTCCGCCACTGCCTCTGCTGTGCAAGCTTACCTCAGCCCTTGCTCACCCTGCCGCACCCCTTGACTCTTCATTCCAAGCGCTGTGGGCGCAATGAGATACAGGCCGCAATTCCACACCAAATGGTGGCAGATACCTTGATCTTGAAATGTCAGTGTTTGTGCTCTTAGATCAGTAAAAATCTGTACTTAAAATTCAAGGTTGCAAATCAGAGTTTCTGTAAATTCTGGATTCCTCATACAAAGTGAAAGTCTCTTATTAAATCGAAGTTTTAAATGCTAACCGAAACAATTTTTTAATTTACATTTTTAGATTGCTGTCAGAGAAAACTCACTGATAGCTAGAAGACCTGAGTCTGAGATGTGCTTTCTCAAGTCTCTTTTTGGGTTTTCTATAGCTGGGTCACAGAACTGTTCCTAGAGGGGCCTGTCAGCCTCTGGTTGGTTCTTCCTGGGTATGGGCCGGATGGATAGCCTTCTGGCACCCAGGCATGGCAGCAGCCAGGTGTGGAATGAGTCAAGTACCACTGTGTCCCTGAGACCCTAGGGTCTCAGTTCACCTGAAGCCTTGACTAGGCTGAACAAGTAGAATTGTTTCTTGCTTTTTTTTTTTTTGATTGCATATATTTATTTGGGGGGTAGGGAAAACATGTCATGAAGAAAACTGGGGTTCAGAAGACAACATGTAGGGATTTGTTCTCTTGCCACATGTGGGTACCAAGGACTGCACTTAGGTTGTCAGGCTTGGTGGCAAGCCCTGCTCCCTGATGAGTCATCTCGTTGGCCCCCTTACTATTCTTTGGAAGTGGATGATATTGATGGAAATAAACGTGGAGAACGCAATTGGATGTCTTTGGCCTAGCTGCAGTGAGTTGCTTCCCAGTTGTTCACACGATCATTCCATTCTGTGTGTTGGGGGTGAGTGGAGCATTACCCTCCAAAGCAGCAAGAGGCTGGCATGTGGCTCTGCAGCAGAGCCCAGCTGGGCCTGTATGGGTTACACCTCCAGCATCAGCAGGGTTCAGGTATGACCAAGAGTGAGTCCCAGCAAGTGTGCCTTCACAAGTGCAGGGCAGGTGGAGTTACCTTGAAACTGCTGGCCGACCAGGCACCATCCTGGGCATGGTGCCAGCTGTGCTCTCTGGATTCCCAGCTGTTTAAATGCTGATGGAGAACATGGAGCCAGGGCAGCGCTGCCATGCCATCAGGCCCTGACTGCATGTGTCTGCCCGCAGAGATGCACAGTGTGGGCATGGGCAAGCAGAACCAGCAAGATGCCCTTGCCTGGATAGGGTATGACCATAGCGGGGAGCTGAAGTGGATGGTTAATGGCCACCAGAGTGAGGTTTGAGAGAAATTCTCCTTAGAGTCAAGAGAATATTCCAGAGTTGCACAAATTGTTATGAATAGGATTGTGGGGAAACGGGATGAGAGTGACTCAGGAGTTGGGGGAGACGGTTTGGGTGCACCAAGAGGGTGTGTTGCGGGAGAGGAGTGAGAGTCTGCTGAGACTTTGTGCAGAGTCCCAAAAAGCAGGTGGGGACTTAACTAGAGGTGGCAGAACAGGCAGAGTTTGGAGAAGCAGGGCAGGCATGGCGCGTGCTTATGGGGAGTGAAGTCAGTCTGAAGCTGATGTCACTGATCCTGATTACATTACTTGAAACTGTCTTATGTTGGTTAAAACTGCCATACCTGTTTATTCTCCTGGCCAACTGGAGATGTGTTATAGACACCTGCTTCCTCCTTATAAAAGTCTAAGCAAGCACTCTGCCACCCACTAAACTACCCTCCCTGTCTTGGTGTGGCCAGAGGGGGCCTCCAGCTCAGCATTCAAGAGTACCACCTGTAAGCAGCCCACAGACACTGGGAAGAGAGTGTGGGGCTCCTCATGTCCTCAACACCAAGCCAAGGGCTCTATGCTACTGAAGTAGAAACTGGGGGGGGGGGGGGATTGTGCAGAGTCAATGCAGTGTGTTCCAGTGTCTTCCCAAGAACACCGTGCAAAATAGTGTTTCCTGAAGAAAACATGCACAGCAACCTGTCACAGACCCCACTCTGAAGGAGGCTCCCAGATGGCACCCATCCCTCCTCCCACCCCTCCTGGCAGGTTTCTATCTAGAGGAGATAACAGAAGTTTAAATTAAAGGGGTACTGGTTGTAATGGTACACGCCTTTTATCCCGGCACTAGGGAGGCAAAGGCAGGCAGATGTCTGAGTTCAAGGACAACCTGGTCTACAGAGTGTGTGTTCCAGGATAGCCAGGGCTGCACAGAGAAATCCTATTTCAAATAAACAAATAAATAAAAAGAAAATTATTTTTACTTTTAAATTATACATCTGTTGTGTTCAGCTATGTGCAATGTGGGTACAGGTGCCATGGAAGCCAGGAAAGAGCATTTTATCACCCAGAACTAGTTATAGGTGGTTGTGACAACCCAGCATAAGTGCTGGGAACCAGACTCTGGACCTCTGCAAGAACAAGTCCATGCTCTTAACCACTGAGCCACCCCTCCAGCCACCAATGGCTCCTGCACGTGTCCAGTGACTCCACCACATCTGGCATAGTGCTGGCATTTCTGCACAAGACCAGACTTCTCCCTAGTTGTTCATTGCCAGACCTTGACAGAAAACTCCTGGATTAATGTCCAAAAATGGGTGGGTACTCCAAGGTCCTGTCGGGCAGGCTGGTTGGAAGAGTGCTCCCCAGCCTCTCCCAAGGTCTGTGTAAAAGACTTTGCTTCACAAGCCTTGTTAACCAGAGGGGAGATAACCCGGGCCAGGTATTGGAGGGCACATACGTGGCAGGCCAACAGGCCTCAAAAAGGAAAACAAAGAACGTAGAGCACTTTGACATGTATTTGAGTTCTTCAGGAGGAGTCTGTGACATATAACTTGCCAATGGCTCTTGTAGAAGTCCCATTTCCTCAGCAGAGAGGGCCTGGCAGCATAAGACATCAGAACTGGAGGCAGGCTGGCTGAACTTCCTGCCTGCAATCGCAGACTGACCACCTCCTCTCCAGGTACTCAGGCCGGCTGCAGGGGCACTGGGGCTGCACAGGCCACCTTATTGCTAAAGAGGCGTGATAGGCTGCGCTTGGCTGCTGGTCTGCGTGGTGAAGGTGGCACCGACTGGAGTCCACGTACATCCCAGAGACGCAGAGCACCGTCATGAGATGCTGTGTAGAGCACCTGACCATGGACCTGTGGGCAGGCGGGACAGCTGTCAGCCATGAGCAGGCCCCTGGAGTCTTCTCCCATGGGAAGCCCTTTGCTTCCCTGGGGCAGTATGGAGCTGGGTAGAGAGAGTCCTACCTGGAGGCAGTTGATGACAAAGGTGTGGCCTCGGAACACCCTCTGCAGCACTCCTGATTGGGCATCAAAGGCCCGGGCGCAGGCATCCCCACTGCCTGTGAACACTGTGGACACACAGCAGTACACTGGACCCTTCCTGGCTGCCACCTCCCCAGGAATGGGACCTCCACCTGCCCCACAGAGACATCCTAAGGGTCAAATGGGAAACATCTGGAAGCCTTCTGAAGGGAAGCTGGGCTCTCAGTCCTGTGAAGTCAGGGAGGACACTGAGGCCTCCAGGACACCTTTGCTATGAAGATACCTTTGCATAGTCTGGCTGCCATGCCTTCCTTGACTTCAGTCAGCTTGTGCTGTCCTGAGTGGCCCTGTGCCAGGTACCCATCTTTCTTCTCTGCCTTGTTTCTAGGACACCACATTCTGCAGGCTCTGCCCTGCCCATCCGTCACCTGTCCCCAGGGCCAGCCCATCCACCCTCCTCAGGAATGTGGCCTTGAAGCAGAGCCTAGACCCCATCTGTCCCTCCTTGGGGTCTTCCTCTGTCATAACTTGGTGCGCTGGCATCAAGGGCACCACGGTCTCTGGAATACCTGCTGAGACAGATGGCTAATTGTTATCTCAGTTCCTGCTGCAGTGGTGGGGGCCTGCGATTTCTTTTTAATCAGTACTGATAAGGCTGGCCACCTGAAGTAGTCAACTATGGGAATTTGGTGGTTCACTCACCAGCCTCCGCTGACTTCCCCAGAAGCTACCCCCACACACACCAGGAGGCCAGCAGTTCACGTGGTAGACAATGCAGGAAGCATGGAGGTGATAGGGACGAAACCACACAGGGCCTTTTAATGAGCAGAGTGGCTCAGGTGGGGGTGGGGGAAACTGTAGGTCCAGCTAGGAGGTAAGGATGCTGGGCCACACACCCTCAATACCCGTGGTGAGAGGGTGCTTCTGGGTATCAGTTCCCAGCAATCCTACTTGCTTAGCTTTAACTGACACCTTGGCACAACCTAGACTCACTGCAGGGAAGAGTCTCCTCAGTGCAGAATTATCTAGGTCAGGGTAGCCTGAGTCACATCCTGGTTGTGACTTAAGGTAGAAAGACCCTGAATGTGGGAGGTGCTTCATGGGCTGGGCCCTGAACTGCAGGAGTGAGGAAAGTAAGCTGAGGGAAGCAGACAGCACAGGAGCGCTCACTTCTCCGCCTGCTGTGAGCATCTGACAAGCTCTGGCTGCTATGGCCTCCCTGCAACCCGGATTTGTAAGACAAACCCCTTCTTCCCTGTGTCGCTTTTTATCTGACTGTGATAGCAACAGGAGAGACCCCAAGGCCACCTTATATTTGCCCCTCTAGTCTGCTTCTGTTTTTTCTTCGGTATCTATTTCTTACACTCTCCTGCTTTGGTCTGTACATACTTGCCCTTTTCTTACTTAAAGCTTGAGGGTGCACAGGGCTCTGGGGAGGGAGTTTCCTTGCTGGATTTCCTCAGTTCCTTCCTTGCCTCTCCCCAAACTCAGCAGCAGGGTCCAGCCCCCATGGGGTTGCTAGGCATCTTGAGAGTAGACAGGGTCGGGAGCAAAGCACATTCAGTAGTAGCCTTGTTGGCAAAGAACCAAGATCTGTCATAGTGAGAGCAGCCTGTGGAGAGTGACTTCAGCACAGCTGTGCCCGTTGCCAGCTGACAGTGTCTGGGGGCTAACCACTTTGTGCTTAGTTAAGAGAGAGATCCCTGACCAGGGAGCAGAGCTATGTTCACACTAAAGTGTGGATACAGGAGGAAGGAAAAATAACTTCTCCACGTCAGGCTAACTCCTAGAGCATTTCCACTGGGAAGACACTCGTAGGCCCAGCCTTATGGGAGTCTAACAACTGTTTTTGATGGACAGCCATCAGTGAAGCTGAGAATGTGATGAAGGCCCAGATGTGTGACCATCTGAGACCTAGGAGACAGCTTCCTCCCTACCCAACGAACCATTCACCTTCAGCCCCCTCTAAAGTGGAAAGGCAGCTGGGCTCAGGGACAGCAAACCATGCAGGCATGGGAGTCAGAAGAGGAAGGTAGGGTGGGCAGACTGGTGTGGCGTGGGCAGTGCCGGGACAGATCACTTACAGGTGCCTGCATGGTACTTGAGGGCGCTCACGCTGTGTCTGTGTGCCGGAAATGTGCGCACCCTCTCCCCAGTGTCAGCAAGCCAGCACTTGACAGTTCTGTCTGCACTGCCCGTGTACAAGAGCCGGTCTGTGAGCTGTAGGAGAAGCACAAGAGCCAATCCGTTGACCTTGGTGGCCAGGTAGCCCTCAAATCATTATCTACAAGGTAGGGAACATTGGCGGATCTCAGTGGGGAAAAGCAGGGTGACTCCGGAAGGTACTCCCCACCACCCACACTCAGTGCTGTCTCCTCTTTCCCCAGGGAACCTGAGCTCAGAGGGCAGAGCCCTAGAAAGCCCAACAGACCCCAGACAGAACCCTACAGATGCCAGACATAGCCCTGCAGATTCCAGACAGTGCCCCTCAGACGCAGACAGAGACCCCTAAT